TTTTATTTCACTCCAGTAAACTTTGTCGTTTGTGTCATTCTTATCCCAATTTATAGAAGTTACTTCAGTTAACTTCTTAAGGTCAAATATACTTTGCTGGCTCATTTCAACTACAACATATGGATTTTTTCTTTTTGATGTCCTGACGAGACTGAACCATTGATCTGGAGTGTATACTGGAATATTTCGAGCGACCTTCTCAATAACGCTGTGAACAGAATCACCTTCATTTTGTGTGTGGCCCCGCTCTAAGAAGGTGTGGTAAATTTTGATTGAATATTTTTGTGCCAGATAATTACGTATATAAAGAGAAAACAAAAATTTGTTCTTGTTCTGCCCTGGGCAGTTATCGGAAAAAAATGAAAATTCTTTGATTCCTTTTCGCACATGTTGTTCAATAAAAAGCGTAAGACCACTACCAATTTCCGACGACCCTCTTTTTCCTACGCATTCATGCCACATGTAGCAAAATGCCTCCTTTGATGCCAAATTGAAAACTGTGAAATTGAATGTCGATAATTTTAATTTATAATAGGCGACGCCGACCTCTGTCTTGGGTACTGGCAATACTTGCTGCAAGTCGAATACTGCTGCACAAAATGAAGGGTTTGCTTTAGCTTTCTCTTTATCAGCATTCTTAAGACTTCGAGCTAAGTTCTTGTTTTCTATATGCTGTTGATATGCTTGCTCCATTCTAACTTTTTCGTCAGTCAAACTGTTTTCGTAGCTGTGACAAACGTCACAGAGGTCTTTCTTCGGCAGAAAGAAAGAAATGTTGAATTCGGTTGTGAAAATGTGTCTATACATACTTTCTGTAGCTCTCCTTTCAATGTTATTATCTAGACAGAATTCTTCATACAGAGCATACATTTTACAAACATTTAGTGTTGGAGGTAAGTATTTTCGCTCCGTTTTCTGTCTGCAGTAATGGCTATCAATGGTTTCAAACAACATGATGTGGTTACGAACTGATTGTTTCACTGACTCGTCCAACATGGAATTTTTACAGGCTTTACCTCTTTGATCTTCCTTGATATATCCAGCAGAATTCATTTTGTTAAAAACTGTTCGAACTGTTTGGGCACTAATACATAGAGTATTCAAAAAAAATGTTTTGCAGACTTGGATCTTTGATGTTTCAGTTTGTAAATAGTAAACGAAACTAAAACTTCTTCTACTATTATTCTCAATTTCATCTTGCTCCTCGTTATTTTTAGTTTTACGTTGTCGACACCTCGCCTTTGGATTACATTGCACATATTTTGATATATAATCTCTTTGACGACTTATATCTTTCAAATCCCAAAAAGTTTTAAAAATTATATTTCTTTGTTCTTCGTTCATTCTTTGAAAACATTTTAATCTACAGTTATTACACGCCTCTTTAATTCTTCTCTCTGGTCTTTTTTTACCTTTCCAATCCGTATAAGCTTTTCCACTATTTCTCAATCTCTTGATTTTATTTCTTTGCCAATTATCCGAATTCCGAAGACGCGTACGCACTCTTCTTTTTTCTTGTGCATCCGACGATGACGTTGAATGATCAGAAATAGAATCTTGCAACTTTAGTTTTTTTTTAATTTCAAAATCAGGGTCTTCATCTGAATTATCTCCCCCAAAAGGATCGCTTTCCGAAGAAGATATACTCAAATCTTCATCCAGAGTATTTGAAATTTTAGGTATACCCACTACAGTAGAATCAGTCAAGTTTGTTGTATTTAATGTACTGGGAATAGGACGTCCATTTTGCTTTGCTGCCATCTCTTCCAAAATATCCTAAAATTCAAAACGTACAATATGTATTTTAGATATTTGCTACTTAACTAGCATTTTTAGCCATATTTTCAAATGCTAAATTTAAAAGCTGGTGATTTCGGGCAGGTATTGTTCCAACGGAAAAAGCAAGTCACGATATAAAACAAAACAACAAAAATCCTATCTATACTTCACTATTTGCTTACCGGTTGAGATTCGGCAACACTTAAGGTATATGATGCGCTGGGTAGGGTATTTTCTTTTTGGATGTCTAACACCTGAACCGACAACGTGTGCGTCATACCACCAACATTTTTATTTAAGGCAGGAATGGAAGCCAATATACACCTATTATCACACGTCGGGCTTTTTTCACCTGAAGCAAAAAACAAAATTTAATTTGTTGTTTGAGAATTCAAAAATGAAAAAGGCCGAATGTTTGCTTATGTTGTGCTTACATTGGGAGGCAAATGATTGACAAAACTGTGTATTGTCAAGTAATATTGAAGTCCAAATGGAATCATCTCGTATTGAAGATGTTTCATTTGCTAGTAAATAGGTAGGAGGCTGCTGATTGGAGGAATAATCCATCAAATAAGACCCATCTTTTATAGTCGGTTTTTCCAATTTTTTAACATTTAGCATTTGTAGAGGTACCCTTTTTGCAGGACTTTTGTGGGCATCTAAAATATACTCAATAAATAAAAAAAAACATTTAATGGAAAATAATGATACTTGAGAACTTAAAATATATGAAATTAAAAATTACTGTATTAAAGAGCTTTCAGCTATAATTATTTTGTATTCGTTGCTTTGAAATGATATCAAAATTCGAAATAACTTACCTGCAGATTTGTCTTTTTTAATTAAATCAAGAATTTTTTGTCCTCTTGATGGTATCATTTTTCTCTTGACTCTTCAAATATTATTTCACGTATTTTTATTTAAACGTAAACAAGTCTATGTCTACAAACCAGTATTCTAAGTATTCGATCACAAGTCAGAACTAGTCTATGTAAATAAAAAATAATATCCTATGTCACACAAATATTAAGTCAGAACTATTCTATGTCCACAAAAGACAATTCTAAGTGAACGGTAACACGTCAGAACTAGTCTATGTCCTCTGTCTTACCCGCGACAATTAATCGACGTGCACACCGCCGTAGTTGACATAGTTCTGCTCTCAGCTGAACTTTATTTGGAAAGATAGGTTCATTTTTCATTCGGCAATTTCCGGGGCTAGTCGTACGCATGGACATAGAATACTTTTGCAGCAGAAAGCGCAGCTCTTATAATGTACATAGGAATCAAAAAACGAAAATGGACATTTTTGGACATAGAATAGTTCTGCTCTAAGGGGACGAAATGGATTCTGTAACTCATTAAGTATTACATTTGCTACAGGATTTTTGTCTTCAATGGAAGCTAATCTAAATAGGCTAAGCAAGATGTCCCACTGATCCAAAACACTATCAACACATTTGGATAAAGCAAGCCACCTTGTTTTACTAGGGCTTAAAATTTTTAATTTTGACTTTTTGAAATATTCCTGTAATTCTTCAAGAACACACTGCCTCTTTGGGCTTCTTGAGAAGTAAGAATATAAGTTTTGTAAAAGAGCTTCATCGTTGCTTGGAATCTTTTCAGCTGCCGCCACCGCCACTAAATGAGCAGAGTGGCAAATGCAGCCATTGACAATTATACTAGGATTATCTTTTAAAAGATAAGTTTTGAAAGATTCGTTATTGCCCATCATAACACTAGCGTTGTCGGAACAGTATCCAACAATATTGGTAATTTTTATTATTATTTTTTTATTTTCCAATTCTGAAATTATTTCTTCTTTAATAACAGGAGCCAGCACATTTTTAATTATACTTATGCATTTGGATCTTTTTAATTTAAGTGAGCTAGAGAGATCTGGGTCTTTAAAACATAATTGACTAACTCCTGTTATATGATCAACAGTTCTAAAACTTATATAATGACTTACAACTAAAAGACTATATCTTAAGCAAGCAAATATTTGCCGTTTTTCCAACTCACGTGCTTCCCGAGACTGAAAAGTGCTATCTAACGTTCTTACATTCGAAATTGCTTGTACATTAGTGGCATGCCTTTTTGATTTCGAATGATTCACTAAATCTGATTTTTAGCACCCATTATTTGATTACAAGCTTTACATTTTGCTTTCAACTTGTCATTTTCAATAGGTCCCAACCAGCCTTTAAATAACGGATCTTCTAGCCATGAAGAAGTAAACATTTGTTTTCGTGTCTTTTTCTTAACAGGTTGCTCTGGCTCTTGGTTATCCTGAGATTCGCAAGTCGAATTAACAGGCTCAGACCTGATTCCACTAGATTCCGCTCTTCTATTTTGTCTGTATTCAGGTTCGGGATGCTCCGAGTCCAACAGAGATGCAGTCGAAGTGGATGGTACGGCCACGTTTGGTTTCACCGTTTGTTTTTTAGAAGGATTTTTATCAAAAAAATCATTAATGGTCTGCTGTCGCCTTTCCATTATTCCTATTTTCCAGAAGAAAAAGCGTTAAACACAAATTTCGCGACTAAAGGCCGGTCCAGACACTACGTCTTATCAAACGATAAAACGTTCATACAAATTGTTCGACAAAAAGTACAAAAGATAGCACGGCCACACGTTTACAACTAATCGGTTTTGCGACGTTTTCAGTCATGGAAGAAACACTTGTTTGGTCGTTCTATGGTATTTGCATTGCGATAAAAGGCAGAAATAAACGAAAAAATCGAAGATTAAGATGGTCGAGGGAATGGTTATTAAAAAGACAGGAATTTTCTCATGTCAGATTATTACGTGAACTTGAACCAGATGATTGGCGTAATTACCTGAGGATGGACACTGAAACATACAACCATTTGTTAAAATCTGTTACTCCTTACATTGAAAGGCAAAATACCTGTATGAGAAAAGCCATTTCAGCTCATGAGAGACTTAGTGCCACGTTAAGATTTCTTGCCACAGGAAGAAGCTACAAAGACTTGGAATTCACCACCATCATGTCCAAGCAATCACTGAGTGAAATTATACCGGAAACTTGTGACGTTATTTACAGGGTTTTAAAAAAAACTTCCTAAAGGTGAGTTTTGGAAAATACTTTTATTAGAAATAAACTAAACATTAGTTAAGAAAAGTAAAAAATAAAAAAACGCCTTCCATAATACACTACCAATAATTAATTTAGTGATGACACGTTTTTGATTTCTTTAAACACCCTCATTAGGTTTAAAATTTAACACATACTGAACAAGATCTTTGGGATTAGAATCTGTGTCCTTTTCTGAAACTGGAGTTCGATAGTCTGAAAGAGTAAAATTTGTGTTAGCGGGTTCCTCCGGTGTGGTTGAATTATGAATTAGTTGTAGCTGTTGGACATGCTGTTCTTGACCGATTTCCGGTACGTAATACCCTTGACGCCAGCCTTGACTTGAAATTTGTCTATTTGGTTCGGTATTGGTGACACAAGGTGGCGCATATTGGTTAAAGTGTGGCTTTCTGGTTTCTCGTGGAGACTGTTGAGGAGGGTGTTGGTCTTCAGTTATAATTTTGGAATATCTATTTAAGGATAATATGTCTGCCTCAAATAAAAACATCAGAGATAAGTTCCATTGCAAATTTAAGTTGATCAGGACGAACTGATCGAAGTCTATCAGCGACATGTTTTCCAAATCGGTCATGTGAATCTTCCGGCATTAAGTCCAATTTTTTATTAATTTTAGACATAACTTAGGCTGTTTCGTTGTTATTTGAGGCCGCCTTCTTTTTGCGATTTACAGTGCGTGTAGGTAGCAGGGCACTGGTAGCGGTATCACTAGTCGGAGTAGATGGCCGACCTGAAACAAAAAAATATTACAATTTTATAATACAACAAAAATACAACCGTAAATAAGATGTATAAAAAAATTTAAACATGTTTAATTCAAAACAAAATTCCATTAACTCATTTAAGGTTCCATTTTTTAAATTTTATCGCTAAAATTATTAAACGATAAGAATATGTATTTACAAGTTACTATAAAGGTAAGAATAATGTAATCTCTTTTGTTTTAGTTTCCAAAAAGCGAACAGGAGTGGTTACAAATAGCAGCCGACTTTGAAAAAAAATGGCAATTTCCGCATTGTTTGGGTAGTATTGATGGCAAGCATATCAGAATTGTTCCTCCCAAGGGAAGCGGATCATATTACTTTAACTACAAAAAGACGCATAGCATAGTTCTTATGGCAATTGCTAATGCGAACTGTGAGTTTATCTACTGCGATGTTGGCACAAATGGTAGAATCTCTGATGGTGGACTAATTGCTAATACCACATTTTATGAAAAACTAGCCAATAATGATCTAAAACTTCCTAATCCGGAATCTATGCCCAATTCTAACGAAATTCTTGGATATACGTTTATTGCAGATGAGGCCTTTTCAATGCGTTCCGATCTTATCAAGCCATATAGTAGGGAAACACTCAATAGAGAACGAAGAATTTTTAACTACCGGTTATCCAGAGCCCGACGGACTATTGAAAATACTTTTGGCATTTTATCGTCCCGATTTCGAGTTTTCCACACTGTTATAAATTTGAAGATAGAGAACATTGACAAGGTTGTTCTAACATGTTGTGCATTACATAATTTCCTTCGCAGGAAGTCTCCACAAAATTACACACCCCCAGAAAGTATGGATAGAGAAAATATTCCTGCAGATTATTCTCTTGCGTTAGGAGACAGGTGTGACCCTAATTTAATGCATGACCTTCAAAGAGGAAGAAGAGGCCAAATTTTTAATGATGCAAAAATAGTTAGAGAAAAGTTCTGTGAATATTTTAACAATGAGGGCTCAGTCCCATGGCAAGATAATTTAGTTTTTCAATAGGTCATAGTTTGTATAACATGTTATAAAAAGAGAATTCTATAATTCTGGGCAATAAAATGCTTTCAATACCTATATAATGTAGTTTTATTATTAATAAATAGACATTACTTACCTCTTTTTCACTTTCCTCTTGATGTGCCTCATCATCGATAGTGTTTGTCGACTGTCTTATTTGATCTTGGTCATTCAGAAAGTCAAGCAAATCAAAATACCATAACGTCGGGTTGTAGATATCATCTTCACCAGCACCACTTTTTGTGGATTTCATTATTTTGGCACGCTCTTTTTTGTAAACGGTGCGTAAAGAGTTAATTTTCTTGGTAACTGTCTCTTTGTTTGCCGCTTCATCAATCTCCTTGTATTTTTTAATCATTATTTCATATGCCTGTGACTTCTTATTCCTATCACTATACTCGGCACTTTTAACTTGCCATAAACAAGGAAAACTACGATAGAGTTCAATAAATTCTCTTAAAAATTGTCGGGAACACTGACGAAGATCAGACATATTGCTTGTAAAGTTTAACATGCAAAATATATTTAAATACGCATACACAAAGTAACACATTGTGATACGTATATACTATGAAAATATACTAAAACAATTTCCAATAAAACCGAAGTCTGTCCACACGCTCCAACTTGTCGAATCAAGTTTCATAAATGATGCCTGGCACTTCAAATTTTCGACTTATCGTACAACCTTATTTCGATCATGCAAGACGTACGTTTTGTGGTCTACACGCGCCGTTTTACTTGATAAGACTTGTCTGATTCGATAAATAGTTTGATAAGACGTAGTGTCTGGACCGGCCTTTAGATCTATTTCTGGATCAAACTATAATATGTTAGATATTTAAGCAGTTTTGTTACTTACCAGTAGATTTAATATTAAAATCTGCAGCAAATGATATATCAATAAAATGATCTACACAAAAATAAGAACACTAATATAAACGAAACTAAACAGTATATACCCAGAGCTGAAAAATACAATACAAAGCGAGAAACCTAATATTATGTCTGCCTGCTGAGACCTGTTAGAAACGATTAGTATTGAAAGCAGTATGTACGCCATCTGTTATTGAAAAAAAAGGCAGGTGGAATAATTCTCTTCTCTGTTCCTAGATGGCTCAAGCGGCACCAAATGCACCAATTTTATTATTAATGTGATAATAAATCAGACTCTATCCACTGCCTATTTAGGATTTAGAACGTTATTAACGTTAAAACAGTGAAATAAATATGATAGTTTTGTATGTAATAAATTCCGCTACATTTTGGGCTAATTTGCTCTACCGCCGCTACGCCGCTCTTCTCAAAATAATCCTCTACAAATAGCGGAATTCCGCTACGTATGGCAACACTGCTCGGCCTTTCACCTTCATCCCAGTCGCGCGAACTTGTACCCGCCGGTACCTGGCAAAAGGTAGGGATGCGCGATATTCTTCAATGTATCGATATTTGGTATCGATCTGTATCGTGAGAAATTGTATCGATACAGGAAAATATCGCTGTAAAAGAATCGATACCTAAGGTATCGATACCTCGATACGGTTATTCTGTAAGTCGTAATCTTATCCGTTACAAAAAAAATTAGGAATCGTGTTTGAATTTAAATCATTATATGATTGATTAATAAATTTTGGGTTCCAAAATCAAATATATTTGTTTGTATAATTTTCACATTTAATCATTTATAACAAAAAAAAAAATAATAATTCTCGTATTAAAAAATACATATATAAAAGAAAATATAAAACAATACAGTTCCAATGTTTAACTTGAACTAACAAGTGTTGATATGTAAAAACTAAAATATTATAATCAACATAAATATAAATATATATATAAACCAACATAATACAGGTTTTTCTTCAACTGCTATAAAAAAAAACAAAACTATAATAGGTTCCAGTCTTCAAAATTTAAGGAACTTAAAAATAAAAGCTCTGATAATCTTTCTCCACTAAGCCTGTTACGGTTTGGGCTAATAATATTTCCAGCTTTGGAAAAAAGCCTTTCTGATGGAACTGAGGTTCCCACAATAGATAAATATTTATGAGCTATTTCTTTCAATATATGTGACGCGTTTGTGCTCCAGTAAGATAATGGGTCTGACAATATTGGTAGTGTTTGGCTGTTTAAATATATTTTAAAATCATAGTCAAGGCTGTAGCTAGTATCCACCTGCGTTAAAGTATGTTTGGCAGCTAATTCTTCATGGTAAGCCCATAAGCTTTGAGATTTATTTAGTTGAGGTTGAGGCGGTTGAGCACTTTGACTTTGTGAGTTTGGAGCATTTTTCATTTGGTCTTGGTTATGCAATTCACGTAATTGTTGAATTGACTGGTTAATAAAAGTAACAGCATTAGTACATGCCACTGGACTATTGAAATGTAGTTTTTTAAAACGGGGGTCTAATAAGGTTGACACAGCTAATAATTTATTTTGTTCTATAGCCCCAAACCTTTTAGAAAGTTCATTAATTGTTGTGGTTTTTAAAGCTAATATTTCTTTAGAAGATGGGGATAAATTTCCAATATTTTTAACCCTTAAATGACAACATGAAAATATTCATACACGAATGACAACATGGGGTCGCATGTGACCCCAAGCAGGACTACTGTTATTGATGATATTTTTCAATAAAAAAATTAATTAGTTTTAGGCAGAGAAAACATAAGGAATACAACATTCTTAAATACAAAATGAACAAACAGCCTGGCTGTGTTCGGCGCACAAATTACGCTTGCATGTTACACAGTTATCTCTGCCTCTTCTGCCTACAGTTCTGGAACATATATGGAGCAGCGTTTATTTCCTTTGGTTTCCAGTATAGGTGATACCTGGTTTACAATATCCCGTTCTGCTATATCCAATACCTGTGATAAATTTGTTATTTCAAGCATCCTCTTCATGTGTTATTTGGCAAGCTCTTCACCCAGCTGCATTAGTAACATTAGTCGCGGTGTTTTCATAGTATTAGAACTATTGGGTTCGTAGATCAGATAAGAATTCACAGCACCCCCATCAAGCATACCGTATAATACTCTAAGAGGCCATATTTTCGTTCTTGATACGGACTTACTGTATCATAGCTGGTCAAAAACATCGACTCTACCTTTGATAGCATTAGAAAATAAATTAATTTCGAATTTCCCTGAATTCCGGTCAACCTCGTTATCGTTATGCATTGTTTACATGAGTATTACTACCTTATTTTTTTTAGGAAATGAGACGCCAAAACTACCTCTCCATCGAAAGCAAATGTGTTAGGCTCTAATATTTTTGGTTTAAGAAATTCGGTTGGAATTTCTGGTTTATTTTTCCACAAACGTTAGTCCTACTTCCTTCAATGATTCTGCCATGTCTATAGAGGAAAACCAATTATCTACAGTGATATTTCTATTAGTTTTGTCGATTGGTTCGGGTAATTTTAGAATATGTGTCGGTAACGGAAGGTTAGTTGCACGACCTTCTTTGCCAATATATGGTATTGCTGAAAACATATAGAACATTTTTGCATCACACAAGATCATTATTTTGAGGCTTATTTGGGATATACATGCGAAATGGACAGCTGTTGTTCATCAACAGTAACGTATTCCGCTGGCGTGTAAGTATTTCGACAATTTTCAACATATCTTTCTCAAATATTTCGAATAGCACAAAAATTATCTAATTCTCTCCTTTGGTTTCGGGCTGTTTTATCATTGAATTAAAGATTTTTTATACGAAAAGAAAATCTGCTTTTGCTCATGGTGACTCTAAAAACTGGTGCGCCATACTTTTTAGACCACAGCTCCTCTAGGTTAACATGATTATTCTTCAATATACCACTTATGTATAGTAAACTAAAAAGTGCTACTAATTCCGTTTTATCGGTCTGTCCTGTATATCTTTGTGATGTTTAAAACTGTGTCTGATTGCTGCTTATTTCTTCATTTGTATGAGTAACAATTGTATGCATGATGTTCTCATCAAAAAACAATTTCCACACCTCAAATTCGGTTTTCACAGTACTTTAGGCCCAGGAAGATGCAGAACCAAATTTTTCTTCATTGTTCGTGAATTTTTTGCATGAAAAGGTTTCAAGTTCCATTTGTAACCATTTTTTCCATAAAGAGAGATCTGCTAACAGTATCTCATCGTCGGATGACTCGTCTTTAATAGGCTCATACACTATTTCGTCGACCTACACTTTTTCTTCTTCCTAACGATCTTCAGCTTCACTTCCACTATCACTCAAGTCATTATTACTATAGTCACTATCCTCTTCCCTCTTTCGTAGTGACTCTTTTCGAGTTCTTTGTCACTTAAATATCTCTTAAAAAACAACACGGGTCACGGGCGACCCCAATAACCTATAAATCGGATAATAATTGTCAACCGCAATCATCGCTTTGTGTGATAATACTAATGACCAAGCTTGAAAGGTAGATGGAGGGAGACGGCTGCAGCAGAATATTCGTGAGAAATATGACTTAAATATTATTCGGCTGGGTCACGGGCGACCCCATGTTGTCATTTAAGGGTTAAAAAGGCAGTTAACAATAGGTATAATCTTACTTGATGTTAAATATTGCTCGCCGCTGACTTCTTTTGAAACTGCCTCGATAGGAGATAGAATATTTAAAAGTTCTTTTATTTTTTCCAATTCAGATGCATCTAACATGGCTGGTGACTTTGGGTTTCTTAGTAAAATTGGAGCTATATATTCATATAAGTTAGTAAATCTGTCCAACATGTAAAAGGTCGAATTCCACCTAGTTGGTACAGATTGTATTAATCTTAAAATGTTATTGTCTGGCTGTGCTCTTCTTAAATCATCGGCTGCCGATACCCTTTGCTTAAAATAAGTTACAATAGATTTAACTTTAACAACAAGGGGCTTTACATCTTCACTGTCAGTAATTTTTGATGCCACCAGATCTAGCATATGTGCAAAACAGGGCTGATGCCCGTTTTTCCCAAATAAGTCAGACACAGCTTTTACTATATTTGCTCCGTTGTCTGTAACTACAGTTGTGATTTTTAAATCGGAAATATTCCATTCTTCACAAATAGATGAAAGACATTGCCCTAAATATTCTGAAGTATGTCTTTGGTCCAACTCATACACTCCTATTGTCAGAGAAATTAGTTTACCATCCAACAGAAAATGTGCTGTCACTCCCAGGAAACTTGTTGTTGTTTTAATTTCTGTCCATATGTCTGTTGTAATTGTGATATTGTGTACTGTTTGAAGCTTTTGTTTAAACATACCTGATAATAAACCGTACTTTTCATCAATTAACTTAGATAGTGTTTTGCGATCGGGTACATGGTATAAAGGTGCAACTGTTTTCATGAAATATTTGAAACCTTCTTTTTGTACAGTGTTTAAGGGCAAGTTGTCTTTTGCGATCATGAATACGAATTCTGACAGATTTTATAATAAATATTATAAATAAACGTTTACCTACATTGTTTTTGTTCTGTTCCTTTTTTGCTTCTTCCTGAGGTGTATCTATATCATAATTTGGATGTTTTCTTTTTAGATGCTTTTTTAAATTTGTGGTGTTCCCTGCTGTTTTTACGACATACTGACACAATTTGCATTTCCCTCCTGAACTAGTTTTCACAAATACTTTCCACACATTGCTTCTTATCGGTGGCATGATAAGGCAGAAAAACTAATTTTACTGCAACTATATTATAATTACTTTGATAATTAAAACAAATTAAAACTTAACCTCACAATTCCACGATTTCTGGTGATTCCCCTATTTTCCCGCAACATGGTCGATCACCTTGGCAACCACAGAACAATATAGTACGTATATAGGACGCTTTCGTTTATTCAACAGTAATCATCGGTGGATTCCATCTTTGATGGTTCATGATGGGCAACGATATATGTCATCGCTACTACATCTCTGCCGGCTTCGATGTAGTAGCGACCTACAAATTTCCTTGGCGGGATTTACACTCGTCATAACTAGATGCCACAACTTTCTCAATCCGCGGATCGTATGATCCGATATACAAGCAAAAGTATCGATATTAGTGATGTATCGCAATGAAAATATCGATACAAAATATCGGGTATCGAAAGCAGAAGTCTCGATACTTTAAAAGATCGTATCGTATCGCGCATCCCTAGCAAAAGGGGATCGCCTGGCGGCGAACTATAGGTCGCACTATTGGTTGCATACAGGTGGGTTCAGGTCACAATATCTGGTTGTTTTCTATGCCACATATCAAATGGGGTCTTTCCATTTAGTGCACTTGAAAAAGATCTATTTCATAAATTCGAGGTACTCGCTGCTTTGGCCCAAAACTTCTTGCCTAAATCTGCATCAAACAAGAGCCATCTTGCCTTTTCAACCAGATACCTATTCAGCCGTTCTGCTATACCATTCTGCTCAGGGGCATTTGTCATCTGGGGAACAATATCTTCTTTATTGAAGAAATTCCCAAAATTCTTACCGCAGAATTCTCCACCTTGGTGACTTCTGAATGTCTTTATTTTCTTGCCTGTCTGGTGTCCTCTAGTGATTTGAAAATCTTGAACCTTCCAAAAACTTCACTTTTGTCTCTGATGAAATACACAAATGAATATCTAGTGTAAGCATCAACAAATAGGAGAAAATATCTGGCACCACCTATTATCTGTTGGTAAGACTATTCCTCTACATTGTTTGGATCGAGACTCTTATCTTGTATTTGGATTATGGAAGTATTTTGATCCTGTAGAACAAAAGCGCTACCATTCGCATCAGAAATGAATTCATGAGGCTGGAAAACGTTGAGATTGCAAGGAAATAAGCCTCTGATTCTAAATCCATTTGTTGCTGTTGCGGCCGTTGCTGCTTGAATGTAGGCTTCTCCAAAAAGTCTTACAACTTGGGGACATAAAGGCTGTGTCAAGCGGCTGCATTTTATGGGTACAATGCGAAGGTAAGGAAATTATATGCACCCCATTTTCTCGCGCAATTTCGAGCAGCTCTATATTCCTGCGAGTAGTGCCCACCCAAAACCAGCACGACAGGGTCATCTTTGCTGGGCTTCACGTTAGGTAAAAACTGCTTTCTAAACCACTGCAGGAACTGCAGGAAGCTATCCATTTGAATCCATCCGGATTTATGGCATACAGCGATGGTTCCATTTGTGGTTCCATCTAGCAATTCAGCCTTCATATTAACCCTGGGAAATACGAAAAGCGGTGGAATATAATGCCCTACATAATGTCACTACAGTTACAAGTGAACCTCTTTCGGCCATCAAAGGCTCAAATATGTCAAAAAAGCATCAACCTTTTCTTTCTTAAACCCCCTTATTCTGGACATTGAGGTTGTTTCTGGTCTCCGGAAGCGCTTAAATTAGGATGCCTTTTCATGAAAGAGCGGGAGCCACTTCCATCATGCAGACTGATCCTTTTCAGCGAATGGGTGTGAAAGGCCATTTCGTTCTGCTAGAAGAAATGCCATCGACTTGAGGTCATTGGTTCTTAGGCCATAAAACGCTTCTCCATTTCCAGACAATAAGAAATCAAAATATTTTCTAATTTGTCGCCCAAGATGGGCTTGCGGCCAAGCTTACATCCAACTAATTTGTCTATGACTTTGACTTTGCTATTGACTTTATCTTTTAAAGTCGACTTTGGGACTCCAAAATGATTTGATGCTCGGAGCAGTCCCATCTCTTTTCCTCGCACAGCCAATATCGCTCTTTTCATATTGTCTGTAGTCGATTGCTTACGCTTATTCTAACGTCCGTCTAAAAATGAGAGTCAACGGTCTAACAGTTGACAATGGTTGCAAAACTTATTTAGTCTGCTTAAAGCCTCTTAAGTGATAGTTTTTATATACAGTGCTCTCTCGATAATCCGCCATTATAAAACCCAGACTAGCGGCGGATTGCCAAAAACGACGGATTACCGAGAATAATGAATTACACGATCTACGTATGTATATATTTACAATTTGTATTCCATAAAGAACAGACTATATTTCATACTCTGTACCGATTTATTGGGTTTGTTTAGTTGGACATAGATACATAACATGTGTAGGGGAGACCGGGGACAATTGTACCATTTTGCCTATATTGTTCGCATGTTCTCAAATTATAATGTCTACCAGTCAGCAAGGTATGGCTGAAAGTAACGTAACTAATAGTCTACAAAATGCGGTTTTTGTAATGCATGAAACATAATACGTTTAGAAGTTATTTAACATTTAAAAAATAATGTAAAATGGTACAATTGACCCAGCACCTGGGTCATTTGTACCAGCTAAGGGGGTCAATTGTAACATCAATATTTAATATATTTTAACTAGTTTTATTGATCAAATTTAAACATTACCGCAGTAACCAACTCGGCAAATATACAATTTGTACAAATACTTTGGCATAAAACATGAGCATTCGTATTGTCACAAATAAATGAGCAAATACACAAGAAAAATCTTTAAAAAACAAATATTTAACTTAAAACAATATTTTGGATTTTGTAATTCACAAATACCTATATCTAATAATAAAGGGATGTCGGCAAACAAAAACTTGAACTCTTTATTCAAGCTAAGAACAATAAAAGCTTAAAAACGGTAAACGCAAAATAAAAAAATATGAAAATCAATCTTGTTTCTTTAAGAGATACCCAACTCAGACAATTACTCTGACTCACAATTGTGACAAACATAGAACAAGTTTTGTCCTACACACTCTTCGTGTGACCACATCTTGCACTGTGTGCACTGGATCCATTTCTCGCCCTTTCTGCTATTCCCATAAGGTTCGACGCAAACTAGGCAAAAATATTCATTTTCGTCTTCACTGCTTTCTGCCGATCCAGTTTTTTTCTTTCTAGGAACTTTATTATTTGGTCTATTTCCCTGACTGCCTAAGTTTCTTTTTACTCGCTTTTTTTCTCTTTCCTCAACTTCTTTCTCTATTTCTATTTTCTCTGGGGTGTCTGTATAAATTGCGGACTTTCTTTTTTTCCTTCCTTTCATTGTACCTTTTCTTGGTGGAGCTTTGGAAAATGGTCTAACGTTTTCTGGGGAAAATACAACTTTTACGAATTCTGACGAAGTTGGAGTGGCTTCGTCATGAACTTGTAAAAGTTTTGCAGGTGTCCTGATAAGGATCGCATCTGCTCTTCCTTCCTTTAAACGAAACGCAGACAACGGAATATTTTCGTCTCTATCTGAATCAATTAAACAGGGGATACCTGTATTGACACCTTCTAGCTCAGCAGGAGGCTTGCTGTTAGCTGTTTGCTCATTATTAACAGTCAGTTCTTGGTTTTCTGGTGGCTGTAAGGGTCTATCAGTAACAAATGATGGACCAAAATCTGTTTCAGAAAATATATCTCTATTGAAGGGAAAAATACCTGTACATCTAAAACCAGCCTGAATGTTACTCTGTGTTAGTGCCAGAGGAATAGCTGTTGCAGTGATCCCTGGGATATCATATATCGTCATAGGTTTCCCTGGATGATTTCGAATCCACGCATCACAACTAGAATTTATAGCTTTCTTGAGTGGCCCATATACACAGCGGTCTAGGGGCTGCAATTTATGTGAGCAATGTGGAGGGAACGAAAGCATGACGATACCATTCGTTCTACAGAAATCCAATGCTTCGATGGTGATGTGCGATGAATGGTTGTCTAGTAGTAGCAAAACTTTATGGAATTGAGATGAATTGGTATGATGTTGAAAATGCTTCAGAAATACTATGAATTCTTTTTCTTGCATCCATCCAGACCCATTACCGGCTCCAACGCAACCTTGAGGACCATCCCGAACAAAATGGTCTTGATATCTTAATCTTGGGAAAACAAACATAACTGGGATAGAGTTCCCTAGCGCATTAACGGCAACAGTCAGCGTAACCAGAGTGCCACGTTCTGCCGATGTGATAGCACCAACTTGCTTAGTTCCAGTTTTAGCTACAATTCTGTTTGGCTTCTGGACTGTAGTAATCCCGGTCTCATCGGCGTTATAAATATCTTTCGCTTCAAACTTTTCACGGTCCATAACTTTGGCCAGATTATAGAAGAAAGCGGCAACATTGGTAGGATTAAAGCTAGTAGCCCTTGAGAGACTTGTTGCCTGTGGTGTTCTTATAGATAAATCTTTATGCCTGCACATGAAACCAGAAAACCAGTCTTCACCGGCTAAGCCACTTTCAGTCCATTTTTCGGGCATTTTTAAATTATATTTTGTTGCTAATAGGCTATTTGACTAATTTTGCAAAATCATTTTAAATTATTCTTTTATATATAATGAGCACACTACATGAATATTTCCTGAAAATCTATACTATTTTTAATAGAAATCAAATTTAAAGTTTGAATTTTTAGAACCGCGCCAAAAACGCTATTCCTGTGATGGCGCCGGCAGATGACGTCTGTGACGTCACGCGCCAGTAAACACGATTACGAGCTGTCAGCCGAAGTTAATTTCTGTGCTTGATTTTGCTATAAAATCATAGATAAAATGGTCTATAAATGGTGTGTAGTGCCAAAATGTACGAATACGTCTATAAATAGTCCACAAACATTGTTTGTTTCTGTTCCAACCGATTGTAAAAGACGAAAAAAGTGGTTACTATTAGCTCGGAGAGACCCAAAGGGCATTTCATCGACTTCAAATGTATTTATGTGTGAAGATCACTTCGATGTAAGTATAAATTGAATATGTTATCTACTAGGTAGCTTAAATTACCGCTTTTTTTAAGATTGAAATAATATATAACTATCTATAACCTCAAATGTATCTTTGGTTATGTTGAGGATAAGTCAGTGTTGAGGATCAAAGATCCTGTTTATTAACCCTAAACTTATTACTCTGTAGGGTTTCAAAATGTTTTCTGTTGTTGTGATTATATTAGCTACCTACATATCTCAATAATTTTCTATGCTGTGTCATTTTACCTACTTTGCTTATTAGATAGTGATAGTTATGTTGAATTGCAGATGGAAAAAGACACCATTAACTACATGCAGTACAAAATGGGTTTCAGAAAGAAGATACTTTTGACAGAAGATGCTGTGCCAACAAAATTTCATTGTCAAGAAGATCGTAAAAGACCACTGTCTGATGCTGGACTTTCTCGAGGAGCATATGTCAAGAGGAAAAGAATGGATTTGGTCAACACATGTTTGCAAAGTCAAAATGCTACTGAAGCCCAAGCTGAAAGCTTACAAAAAGATGAGAGTTTGATACAAGACATTATTGAACCTCAAGGTATGTAATCTATTACATGTGTCCTATCATAAATTATAGTCTAAGAGCTGATAGACATTTTTGTAACCTATTTGAGGCCTTATAAAAACTTGTCTACTACTTCTTCCATTATTTCTGAATAAAAAGGGCAGAACTGAATAACATATTTGTAGCACATTGAGATTTTCACAGAATAATATTTATGGTTTAAAATTGATATATTCAAAGTGATGTCATTTTAATGGGACATTTTACTTGCTAGGTGATCAAGAATGCTCAACTTGTACTTCAGGTAATGGGTAATTTTCTCTCAAGCTGTTGATGTTGTGATTCACTACCCCTTATCCAGCACTGCACTTTTTCTTCAGTGATAATGGTAGTAGGAAGTAGTAGACAACTTTTCATAGTGCCTTAACATAATCATTTACATTGAAATTAAGACATTAATTTTGAGTCTTTGTTCTTTCAGGTTTATCAAGAACTCAAGACAGAGAAACTATTACCAACTCTATCATAACTGCAGAAAAATCTGTGCAAGTAATAATAAAAGAGAATGTGCATCATAGGAGCAAATCTGTGCAAACAAGATGCCAGACTACAAGTATTTCTACCTCACCAATGAAAGTTTCTACAACATCTCGTTCCACTTCGCCCTTTAAGATTAAACCATGCAGTCTTCGACCATCACAGTCTGAAATTGTCAAAGCAGTCAAGAGAAATGTTTTTCTTGAAGATGAAAAGTCAGATAGTGATATTTCCTGTATTGAAAGTGGTCGTCATTTATCACCTTTTGTAACTAAATCAGCATCATCATCATCAGGGCTTACGGACTCTGATAGTAATGTTACAGATGCCAATGAGAATATTGAAAAATTAGAGTGCCTCAAAATTACTATGCGTTCAATCTCTAAAAAACCAATGATGTATGTTGGTATTCCAAAAGAATGTTATTTCTTAATCAAATTGTTACATAAACACACAAGCATAAAAGTAGAACACATTTTGCTATGCTTGAAAAAGATTAGAATGAACAGTACATTTTCTGAACTGGAGGATAATTTTGGAATATCATTATCTTATGCTAGTAAATTGTTTCTACAAAATATACCAATAATAGCTAGTGTTTTAAGACCATTCATTGTAAATATAGATAAAAAATTGGTAAAAAAAAATCTTCCTATTTCATTTAGACATAACTATCATAATGTCAGTTGCATCATAGATTGTTTAGAGATTGATATACAAAAACCATCAAAGGCTCTTCATCAGTCATTGACGTGGTCAGAGTACAAAAAGGGGAATACTGTGAAGTATTTAGTATCCTGCACACCTAATGGGTTAGTTAATTATGTTTCGCATGGGATTGGGGGCAGAACCAGCGATGCCACAATAGTAGAAAATTGTAACTTTCTAGATGGATTACCTCAAGGATCCTGTTGCTTAGCTGACAGAGGCTTCAAACACCTTGAACAAATACTTCATGAAAAGGGACTAAAACTATTAAGACCACCCAGTGTAAATGCTGGTGCAAAGTTGTCAAAAACTGAAGTTCGACAAACTAAAATAATAGCTAGTTTGCGGATTCATATTGAAAGGGTAATAAGGCGTTTGAGAGAATTTCATATTTTAAAGCAACATTCAGTGATAAATACTAACATACGTCGTGTACTTGATCATGTCATTATAATTGCATGTGCTCTAATAAATTTGCAAGATTCTCTTATTAAATAATGGGTTTTTGCCTGTTATGATACTTTATACTTAATTATTATCATGTAATCTCCTCTTTTGTGACATACCATTTGAACTTTGTGTTTTGTACTTGGCTGAATAAATACTTCTACTACTACTACTATAAATAAAGAAATAAATGATGTAAAACCATGAATAAAATGATAATAAAACAAGAAATATGCACTGCATAGTTTTTTATTTGATAATCACAGACTAGTGCTACGATACAAAATAGGATATATATTTTTTTTCCAAAAAAAAGTTTTTTATTAAGTTGTTGACATAATCATCTTCGTACTTCACTAGAATAATATCTACATTTTTTGTTTCTTCAAAGTTGCTATCAGCAACACAAAAATAACATTTTTTCATACCAGTTGCATGCATCTGTAATTGAACCTGTGCCTTACATTTCTCTGAAATAATTCCATTTTTTAAATAATTGTTCTTAGCTTTTGCTTTGGTAGGGCATTTTATTTCAACAATGGCATCTTTCAATAAACCATCAGGAGATGCTGCAAGCATGGGATTGTCTTGGCATACATAAAGTCCACATGTTCTGATTTTTTTGTTCAATGTTGTACTAACTGTCTTCCGGACAGATAGCTCCAAACTTCTACCTCTTTTCATTGCAATAGTATCTGGTATTTTTGCGCCCATTATAGTAGCAACCAATGAACCATCAGGTGTATGACATACGCTCACTTCATGTGCCTTTGAAGCTGTGATACGGCCATACCTCATCTCATACCACAAGCTGCTCTTGTACTGCATTCTTGTTGCTTCTTCAATTGCACTGATAGCAGCTCTGTTGAATGTTGTCTTCATTATGTCTACAAGATTGTCTACGTCTGCTTGAATTTTTGGTGGTTGGTCCATTATGAAACAGTGCAGCGAATACCGCATAACATTTGAGTGTTTAAAATCGTCCTGATATTTTATCAATTCGCAGTGTTGAAGTTTTCTTTTTTTGGCTTCCAAAACAAAGTCTGTGTAAAGTGCTGATGTACTTGGTCTGTGTGGTACTTCCTTTTTCGACATCTGCTGCACAGTGATGTACTTCAGAGTAGTCCCTACTCTTGACAATGTTGGCTTTTTCCAATAACATTCCACCGAAGTAGATGGAGGTTCCTCACTGCGCCGATGTACCCACATCAAAAAAGCGACTGCATGCTTGCATCCTCCTGCTGAAGCAGCACAGTCATGGCACTGACAACTTATTATCTCGCTTTCATTTTCGTTGATAACCATTGTCACATTATAAGCTTTTGATCTCACTTTGTGCTCTGGGCACATTTTGCACTTAAGTGTGCATAGTCCATGCTCCCGGTGCAGCTGCACATAGCCAATTGCATCGTCTCCGTAGGACTCCCTTCCAGACCTGTAAAACAAAAGCAAAACATGAAAGTATGTTTTATTCATGAAACCATATATGAACCATATTATCATATTGAACTGAAAGCTTTTTTCATTACATCAACATAACCTAAAATAAGATTGATTTTACAAATCTTTTAATGATCATACATAAAGGTTAGTAGGTATAAATAAATACTTTCTATTACTACTTACATTGTTGTTTTCACATGTTTGAGTTCCGCAGCATAGTAGTCCGCATTATTTTTGAAGAAAAATGCTACCATTAATGCGTCAACCTTAGGTAGATTGCTGTTATCAGCTTGCACAAAATTTAGGTCCATTTTGAAGTCCACAACGAATAATGATGTCAATAGTTGAAAGATTGATCAAGAAAGTAATAAAAATCTGTTTATGAAATAGAATTATGATAGAATATCTCACAGAAAGCCAGCAAAAACGTACAACGCGATGTTTGTTTACTTGCATGCGACGTCACCAGAGTCGCAGCCAATCGCAGGGCGTTTCTGTGACCCATCGAATTTTTAAAAATAGCTGATTTTTATTTGATTATTTCCCAAAAAATATACATATTTAGGTGTACATTAAAGTACTATGTGTTTTCTTATTCTACTATCTAATAGGATGACCACAATTCGCAACTTATTTTCAATACTGTCAAATAGCCTATTGCAGTGCCAATTTTCTTATATCCTTGGGCGACAAACCTTGATAAATATCTGCTGCTTTCTTGATATATTTAACCATTTCGTTTTCTTGTTCATTTGAAAAAACACGATTAGCGGGCTTGTATCCCATACTAACTTTTGTAATGCAATCGACTGAGTTTTCTCTTTTCTTCTTATAACGTAATAGGGACACATGGCACAGACCAAATTGGGCTGCAGCTGCTCGAATTGACGTTCCAGACAGTACCACATCATATGCAGATTCATATAAAGATAGATCACGTGAGGCTCTTTCCGTTTTATTAATCCTTTTCCGTGGCATCTAAAATAAAAAGAAAACCCTCTTCGAAACAAATACAAATCAGGGATCAATTGTAGCGGTACAATCGTCCCCTGACGATTTGTTACAATTGACCCCAACTGTCTTTTTAAAACAAAAATGGATTTTTCTGTAATATGCACTGCTGTGTTTTTTGTGTAACTCTTACAGAAAGTAGTTAACACTACCTATAATCTAATTGAGAAAAAACATCAGGCATATTATGCAGTAAAAAAGAACTACGAACATTTGAAAAAAAAAATAAAAACTTACTTCTGACGTGCGGAAACGAACAAATACACTTAACATACAAATGCTCTCAGCGATGGCAGCCGGCACACTGAAATCAGAACCGCAGTTGTTTGGTGACGCGCGCATCCGAGCGAAGTTTATATAGCGGTCTCACTCTAGGGCATATTTGAAATGTTACAATTGACCCCTGGTACAACTGTCCCCGGTCTACCCTACACAATTGAAGGGTTCTTTTCAAAAACAGCCAATGTCAAATATTCAATATTTTCAGGGTATTAAAAAACCTCTTTAAGCCGATATGGCTAAAGTTATAAATTTTTTGTGCCATGTAAGTAAATATACCTGTATTTTACTGATTTGGAGATATATTTGGATGTTATATAAACTCCGTTTTTTTTTTGTCAATTAGGTTGAAATGTCTGGCATTGACTGTTTTTGTTGAAAATTAAAAATAAAAAGTACAAAAATTGCAACTGACACTTTATTTAAATTTACAAATAAATTTAAAAGCTCTTCAGAAGATAAATATACATACTCGTATTTTGCACAATATTAATCACATCCGTCACTATTATCATCCTCATCGAGATCGATATTAGTGGCTGATTCGGTGACATTAAATTTTAGATAAAATGCAACACTAGCTGATTTCTTTAGAAAGGCTGACAGATCTGTTATATGTTGTATTTTAACACTGTTTACTGGTACTGATTTTTCATACAAAGCTTTTAGCTCTAAGTTGTTTGGCAAAACTTTTTTATTTCGAACAGCACAGTATGTCCATGCTCCTGAATAAGTATTTTTAGTTTTAACATATGCAGAGTCGGAAGATATTTCTATAATGCGTGCTTCCCGAAGGCCTAGCTTTGGTAGGGGAGTTTTAAGAAAATACGAAGAGCATGCGTTTTGGATATTGAAGAACATATTTTGACTCATATTAACTACAACAAAAGGAGATGGATTTACTTTTGCTTCCTGTATTAGAGCATCCCAATCTTCGGGAACTTCCGGGCTATTTCGTCTTTTCTTTTTTTCGATAAGAGCGAAATCTTGATCATTGGGTAGATAAGAATGACCTCGTATAGGAAATACATGAGTTACTTTCTTAAATAGCCTCAATGCATGTACTAGCATATACTGAAAATAAACCATAATGTGGTTTTTGTTTTGCCCGTAGCACCCGTCGCTAAAAATGACTAAATGACTGTGTGTTAGATCCTTATTGTTCAAATAGTGTAAAATCATTGATGTGACATCATTGGCGCCTTTTCTTGCCACATCCTCTGTATAGACGTACATAGCAGCAGAATCGTCTGCTAGGTCATGGATTCCAAAGACATAATACCAAAGCTGACTTTTGTAAAAGACGTTACTAGTTTTAATGTGAGGTAAAGGTAGATTTTGTTGGAAATCAAAAGATATCGCCATGCATTTACCGGCCTTCGCCTCTACTTTGTAATGGTTCTTTATTTGCCTGAACTTTTCTGCTTTTCTCAAATGGAGATCTTTTTCATTAACCCGTAACCACAGACGTCTAATCAATTGAACATTACCACAGACGTGGAGTCAAAATGACTACTATATTGGAACCCATGGAAAGCCTATTTGAAAAATAAAAACAAGTTTACCTCTATCTTATATTACTTAAATAGAATTGTTTTAATATTGTTTTTAATAACAATTTTCGTCAGTAAAAAGCACCCAAGTTTTGAAGAAATATATTTATTGCACACAATTTTCGTGAATATTTACAATAACATCTTTGGTACCTTTTTAGGATAAAAAAAAATGAAATGCGAAGTACTTTTCATACAAAACTCATTAAAAACGTAAAACAGAATACTTACAATGATTATAAATTAACGTGAAAGTAATATTCTCGAAACGTGCAGTAGGTTTTACCAAGATATTTTTTCATTTTGCACAGTCCACGCAAACTCTTCTAGTGCAATCCATACATATTGGGATTTTACAAATTATGCAGGAGTGTGCTGTTTTTCGTCTTTTTTTTAGCTGGATAACGTTTGCAATATTTTCTGACCTCAAATTTTTCTTCCTGGTTAGCAGTATGGTCTTCTATTTTTAAAACCCGACCAATACACATTCTGACTTCCCGACTGATGCGCATATTTTGAAAACGACGTCTCATTTCTGGTTCCACTAGCAGCATTGCAAGATGTTTATTGAAATTGAAACGTTTCATTTCGACATTATCTCGGCATGACTGATGAACCAAATAAGAGTTGACAGTGGAAATATCCAGCATTCTATAAAAAAGTGCCATTGGCCAACGCCGCGTTCTTCGACCCGTCGAATAAACACTACACTATGCTATCTACCCCCCTTTTTGTTAGATTGTAAAAGTCAATTATTTCTGGTTTACCGGATTCCCCTACCTTTCCTTCATTATGGTGCATTGAGGAGACCAATAAAACAGCCTTGTACTTCTTTGGAACGTAAGAGAGTAGGGTAATGTCACTGGTAAAACCGTACAAACTAGAACCTATAGATCTTTGTTTGTTTGGTAGAAAACTAACTGGAATTTCACCTTTATTTTTTTTTATCGTTCCAACGTAGGTCAGGCCTTTACTTTTTAGTAAATTTACTAATTCTATAGAAGTAAACCAATTATCGGCAGTTATGTTTCTGTGCGTGCCGAAAATTGGCTTAGCAAGTTTGAGCACTGCTTGCGTGGGCTTGGAATATAGTTTTTCAGTATCAGACAAGTCGAAACCATCCGAATCTTTGCCACAATAAATATATGCATTATATAGATATCTAGTTCTAGCGTCGGTCAAAGCCATAACTTTTAATCCATATTTACAAGGCTTTGCTGGCATGTACATTTTAAATTTTGAGCGTCCTCTAAATGAAACTAACATTTCATCTATACACATATTTGTACCTAGAGTGTAAGCGCTTTGACAATTTTTAATGAAAGCATTGAATATGTCAGAGATTGGAGCTAATGTGTCATTCTTTTTACGTTCGAGTCTAGTTTCTGGGTCATCGAATCGTAAGCATACCAGAATAATAGCAAAACGATTTGAATTCATCACACATCTGAATATATCTAGACCCGATCCATCCGTCGCAAAAATTGAACGAATGTCTTCGTGATTAGATTTAAAGATAGCTGTAAGCATAAGCAGTCCAATAAAAGCCTTCAGCTCAATAACATCTAAGTCACGAGTATCACTTGAGTTTTTGTTTTTATACTTTTCTCTCAATTTTGCCATACGTAAATTGGAGTACTGAAGAATAATCTGAATTTGGCGGTCATCAAAGAAAAGATTCCAAACCTCTTCTGGATCGGCTTTATACTTTTTACACCCGGACACTTGATTACAATATTGTGTTGCAAAGTACGTGTATTTTTAGAATATGGGGGTACTTTGGACCATTTGAAACAGTTTTTTCCATAGAAATAGTTTCCTGTAGAAGCGCCGATCGATGTCTCATCGTCTTCAGTAGAAAGTCTTTCACAATCTGCGTCCATATCTTGTTCCGATCCGCTCTCATGATCACTGTAAATGAATTCGGCATCTGAATCAATATCACTGTCGTCTTCATCGACCTCATCCGCCCATTTCAGCAAAGTTTCTTCGAAGTCCGGATCCCCATATCTAACTCTCTTTGACGGACCAGCTGTGCTATCAAAATCCATCATAAAAACCTAAAATTAATCGAACAGATTCATGAAATACAGTAACAAAAATATAACATTGTCACAGACCTGTAGTCTTTTTGACTCCGCCGAAAATACAAGTCGTAATGAAATGTAAATAACGTACATAAACAACGCAACCGTCTCAGCGCTAGTTCAATACTACTCGAAGAAAAGGTACGTCTACGCCTGGCAGTGCTGCCACGCTTCTACCCACCAATGTCGGTAGATCTCAAAAAATAAATCGGTAGGTTTCGGTTTAAAATCGGTAGATAGCCGGTTGCGCCATAGGTTTCCCCTAGAACGCTTTTAACAGATAAAAAATGAGGTTAAGCAATAAGCAAGCTTTTTCTACGAATTTTTTTTATATATCTAATCAGCAGTTTTTCTTCAATTTTTTTTTAGGTATTTGAGCAATGGAAAACAAATACTTTATGAAGCAATGAAAAACAAATACTTTATGAATAAATATATTTTATTCATTACTGATCAGTTTCGGGTATCAGAAGTACACAAAGAATCTAAATATACATTGTTAACGTAATAAAACAAGAACAACAGAACAATATAAATCGATAATTATTAAGTTGTTTAGTCATTTTCACTCTCTTCAATACCTTTTAGTGTTTTATTATCCATTTTTAAAATAAGTTCTTTGCTTATTTTAAAATTGAAACACTTATTATTACCTAAGTACTGTTTAGTATGTACTAATCCCGTAATTGTCTTTGTATTTAAAGAATTTCTTTGTTTCGTTTTCATTAGGTTAATTTCTGAGAACCTTCTTTCAACATTGGCGGAAGAATGGGGTAAACACAATATATTAAAAGCGAATTGGCTTAAAATTGGAAACAAAGGCGTATCGTCACCTAAGCGATATTCACTTACTTCCTGCCAAAATGTCTCGACTTGATTAGATAATTTTACAATATCGGTATTACGCAAAAGACGCCATTCGTTATCAAGTGATTGAAGCGCTTCTTCCTTAATTAAGTTTGGAAAAATCCTGGCCACATCTGAAATAGAAGGTATAACTCCTGTTTTGACATTTACGGGATCGAGAAAACTAAACAATTTAATTGGATTATGTTTAAGCGGGAAACGAGTAAGGATTTGATCACAACTTTCAATATAAAACTCTAAACATCTAAGCCTAAAAAAATGTATTTGCTCGCTGGATATTGTAATTTCTGATAATGTTTTTGCCACATTAGCTCCAAAATAAACATTTTCTATTGGTAAGTAATTTCTGGGATTTTTGTAGTCAATATTCTCTAGAGATGTTGATGTTAAATAATCGCGGTTTAAATAACAATCAAACATGGTTTTTAAAACAGTGGATATGTTTTTATATATAACATGTATTCTTGGGCTCTCTGCTTGCATATCCTTATTTAAATTATTGAAAAAAGGCAAAGCAAAATCTAAAAATTGCAAAAATAAGAGAGTAGTAGGGTCGTTTAACCTTTTCAAAATTTGATTCGTAGCTAAAACATCATTTTGGAAAACAGCGTCAGTAAAGTATAATTTTAATGGATTGTATTGTTCTAAAATACGACTTACTACACTTTGAACAGAAAGCCATCTAGTCTGTGATGGGTGCAGAATTTTATGTGTTTTTATGTTACAAAAAGCCTGAAAGTCACGGAATTCTGAAGTTCTTTTTGGGCTAGAATTAAAATAATTATGAATATCCCTCACAAGATCCTCGACAAACCTTGGTATTTTTTGTGAAGCGTAAGAAGCGCAAAGGTGGAATGAATGGCGTATGCACTTCATCACAAACAAAAAGGAATATCTTTCCTTAAAAGTACCATTAATGAATTAGTTTTACCCATCATGACATTAGCCCCATCCGCAGAAAATCCAATTAAATTATTTTTATACAGAATATTGTTAGTTTTAAAAAGGTCTATAACAATGTTATATAAAGTTTTTGCATCAGCATTTGATAAAGGTAATAGAGCAAAAATTTGTCTTTTATTACATTATTTTTTCGATACCTCACTACGGAACAAAGATGCTTAGTGGTGCTAACATCCGTCGATTCATCTACTATTAATGAGAACTTATTTTGCCTTAGATCTTCGCAAACGTTCAAAAATTCTTCCTGGCCAATTACATTTTTTACAATCGACGTTGTTTTGTTTCTGCTAGAAGCCAAACCACGAGCAATTTCGGAATCAGAACATATATTTTTTATTAGATCAGGCAAATGCTCCATAACGGTAAATGGAAGATTATGTTCAGCTACAAACGCCGCCAGCCGTATCTCAGCTAAAAAATGATGGAATAGAATAAAAAAAACTTGCCACAATTATAATGTTACAATGATCGATGCACGTAGTACTATATCATATTGTTAAATGATGCAATTTTATACAACAATGTTGAACAGTGCGGACGTGTTATACAACATGTTATATAGTCTGGATGCACCTTAAGACAAAAGGTGGAGAAAGTCACGTGATGGGTCTGGAGGAAGGAAAGAGAGCTTCCAGTAGCATTCCGACATCCAATAGAAAATATATTTTGAGCATTGTAATGAATCTTGTACTACATTTTATAACAGGTACTGCACATAAGTGCATCAATCATTGGGAATTACCAAATAGAAAAACGTAAGTATACCTTCTTTGGTGTCTTGAGCCCTTTGCCTCCTTTTTGTGTCTGTAACAAATTTAGTCATGGACGGTTGACTTTTGATAGATTTTACATTTTGTTCGTGGATTTTTCGCTGTGTATGTTTTATAAGTGAGTCCTTTCCACTGGATATATTAATATCTTTATTGCATGCCTTGCAGAATCCAAAATTTTTCCCTTTTTGGCTTTTAATAAGCCAACCTGTGAAGCGTGGTTCTTTCTCCCAATCTGATTTGTAGGACTGACTGTATTTCATCTTCTTTTTTAAACCGTAACTGGTTCCTTCACCTCCACTATCAGCACTGTCACTATCACTATCCATATTTGTTTAATAAAAATTAAAATCCAGAAAAAATCAAAATTTATATCAGAGAATATAAATTTAATCACTACTCTTCAACATACTTCTAAACAGCCAACACCAACAGAGTATTAATAATATAAATCGTGTATCGACTATCGCGTCCTGCTGGTGTTACAACTCGTTCACACGAATACGGTACGGCACGGGAATTTAACCGAAACGACATTTTAACCGAATCGGGTCCAGTGTTCACACGATGCGGTATAATATTTTTGCGCGGATACGCTTCTTGTCAGTTGTTGATTGAGTTTGGCACAATGAATGCAAATATGTTGGTTTTAATGTATTGGTATCGTAGACTCTGTAAAAAACGAGTAATAAGGAGATATTGGGAACACCCTATTATTAGAGAAAGATTTAATTTGGGGTCCTTCCGGACACTTATGTGTCAATTAAGAAGAGATGAAATTAAATTTTTCAATTATTTTCGGATGTCTTCCTCTACGTTTGATGACCTACTTAATAGAGTGAAAAAAGACTTAACTCGAGAAGACACAAATATGAGAACATGTATCAGTGCTGAGGAAAAATTGGTGATATGCTTAAGGTAGGTGTCATTTTTTAAAAACTTTATTTTATATACAAATAAACAAATCAAAAATTGGAAATATCTAGATCTAAAATAGAATCTTGGCTTGCAACAGACTGTGTAGAGGGTGACGGTTCGGCAGTATATGGACTAGTCATTGGTGTTGTTACTCTTGAAATTGTTTGTGGCTGTGGCTGACTGTAATAATCATGATTTTGCCAATTATTGTAATAAGTGGCAATTGTACGCGATGGCATTTGAATATTATCGGCCAACCTTCGCTTCTTTGCTCTCATATTTTGCAATAAACTTAACACACTCGACTGAAATTCCAAAGTTTCATCTTCATCAAACGATGATAATGATGGAAGAAGACTTTTGAAGAATGTAAGATGACGATTTTCATCCTCTTTGACTGTTGAAACCTTGGATAAGTTGATTTGATGGTCTATGAATCGCATCATTTTGGCATCAACTTCATTAATACTCCTCTTTCTGCGTGCAGTAGAAGTACTGATGGGAGTACTACCAGACTGATTTGCTTCCATATTCGGTTGTTCAGGTGGAACACTCTCTTCAATAACTTCTGCATCCAAGTCTTCTATCTCGGTGTTATTTTCATTATTAGTGTTTTCATGACAAACAGTTGAATCTGTAATTTTTTTCAGGAATGACATCTGCTCATTATATATATAAAGTCTTGAAGGTTTGGTCGATGTGCCACTTGTTTTTTGGTCTTTATGTTTTTTCAATGCTTTCATCCACGAGTCTCGAATGTATGTCCACTTTTTTAAAATCAGCTTACCTGGAACAAATAAAATAAAACGTTCCTTCCTTTCAGGTATCTAGCATCTGGGTGTTCGTATAAAGATCTGCATTACTCCTACCGAGTTGGTGTCTCAACAATTAGCAATATTGTGAGAGAAGTTACTCGGAGTATATGGAATAATATGGGTACTAAATTTATGGCATGCCCTGATACGCCAGATAAATGGGAGGAAATAGCGAATGGATTCTGGATGAAAACGAATTTCCCGCATTGCCTCGGTGCGGTAGACGGGAAACATATAAGACTGAGAAAACCCGATAACACTGGCTCTATGTACTTCAACTACAAAGATTACTTCTCTATTGTTTTATTAGCAGTCGTAGATTCAGAATATCGTTTTATATACGTGAATATAGGGTCCTATGGAAAAGATTGTGATTCGTCAATCTGGAAAGAATCTACATTGTGGAAAAAGTTGACACAGGGCGCTTTAAACATACCAACACCCAGACCTTTAGAACAGACACAAATAAATGTACCCTTTGTGTTTATTGGCGATGAAGGTTTCGGATTGCATGACAATTTATTAAGGCCTTTTGGCGGTACACATTTAGACAAGAAAAAGCGAATATTTAATTACCGACTTACTCGCGCTAGAAGATATGTTGAATGTGCATTTGGCATCTTAGCTAATAAATGAAGGATATTTCATCGTCCTCTAGATGTTAAACTAGAAACAGCAATATGGATAGTAAAAGCGTGTACTGTGTTACATAATTTTGTCCGAGAAAAAGACGGGTTTAATTTTGAAAACGCTCATTTGCCAGAAATCCACCTTGACAACTTACCAAAAGCACAAAATATACGAGGAGGACTATCTGCCAATTCCATAAGAACAACTTTTGCTGACTATTTTCTAACAGAAGCTGGTTCTGTTTCTTGGCAAGATGAAGCCATCGGTTAGTAAATTTATGTATGTCAAAATAAACAATAAAATACTTACCAAAAGCCTGCCTCTCCTTTTGTTCCATATCTTCGAAATTCTCCTTTAACAGAGAACATATCTCTCTCCATGCTGACGACTTTAAATTTTTGTCTTTATATGTGTCAAGTGTTTTATCCCATAAAGCGGGTCTCGCTTCCACTAAACTTATCAACAGCTCCGTATTTATTTTCTCCATTGTATATATGTAGGTATATACCATAAATATGAGCAAACTATTTAAAGCCGAAAACAAGTGCCGTTCGGCAAGATAATCGAATCGCGACTGGAGGTGAAATGGCCAATATACATTGTACGTGCCACTGAAGGCCGATTCGGTTTTTTTCCCGAACACAACCGCATGCGACCATACGGTTGCCAGTGGCGCGAACCGAATGCAAGTCCGAACGAATCGGCAGTTTTCCCGTATATGGGGTACGACCGCATCGTGTGAATATGCAGATTTAAAATATTGCGCCACTGCGAGATTCGATACTTTTACCGGTTCGATTAAATGATCGTGACCGAGTCGTCTGAACGAGCTGTTAGCCAGGGGAATACCCGAGTCGCGTCGGGGAATTACCAAATAAATTGTATTTTGTAGAAATCAGTTATCGGTATTTATTTTACGATTTGGACGTGTACCACTAGATGTCGCTAAATATAAGAAAAGAAGAATAAACTGGGATGTTTTAAGCAAACTACAGAATATTTATAAGTAGCTTAGAGGGTAAAACATATTATTGTAATTTAAAAATATGCATATTTAGAAACAAAAAAAATCGGGAGATTTTTCATTAGAATCGGTAGATCGGTAGATCTCTTCTAAAATCGGTAGATCTACCGATAAATCGGTAGAGGTGGCAGCACTGACGCCTGGTCAGATAGAGTGGGGAGAAAACGAGAAATTCCCCACCACGTACTTGATATTGACTCCGCGTCTGTGGTTACGGGTTAATAAGTTGTTGTTTTATGTCATTAACAACGGCAGAGTTTATGTTTAATGTTAGTTCATCACACGTAGCGCAAGTGTCTGTTCTAGGAATACCAAACGAAATATTGAATTCATTCTTAAGAAATTGGTAATAAACAAGATAGGAGACATTAACTCTAACTTCGTACAAAAATAATTTATGCATTTTGCTTACACTCAATTCTTCAGGCAAATATATTTTTTCCGGATTATCTCGCCGTGAATAATGTTTATATTGTCTTCCTCTAAAAGACTTGATACGCAGTCTTACTAAATTTAATATTTCATTGGGTGTTTTAGATGGTCTATTATTATGTCTTCCACGTGCACCATAAGGAGGTAAACCGGAAACCTTAATAGAGTCTTGAATTCTTCTAAGCCGACCTCTTGAAATCCCATGTAAACTCAAAAATGCAGTGTGACATACAGCCTTTTCTTGTCCAGCTGTTCTAACCTTGTAGTAAAAAGCAACAGAATGATCAAATGAAGGCCCATCGTCATCATCCTCGTCGTTATGAGTCCGTCTCGGTCTTCTTTGCTTTACGTTGTCGAATGAAATGAGACCCGCCAGATAACTATCTTGTACATCTTTGGAAGAAAGTGAATTAAACTTATCTAGAATGATTTGACGTTCTCTAAAACCAATCTTATTAAAACACTTATAGCGTTTGCATCTGAAAAAAAAACACCACAGCTTCAAAAAGGGAAATCGCATTCTTTTGCAACAGAAAATGAAAATCAGTGAAATGGAAAAAGTGATTTTGCTTTGACATTTTTTCGATAAATTTGCCACCTCACGGATTCTTTGCTAACCATGTAACAAGTTTACATGAAACTAAACATTTAAAAAAATTGAGGAAACTTACCCACAGTTCGGTCCTATAGACCTAGCAGGTACATGAATACCCTTATGATTTGTATGGGCTGCTCCAGCTACTTTCAACTGCTTTATAACCTCACATTTTCTTGTTTTCCTTTTTCTTTTTGCAGGCCATTCTACAGTAGAATCAGGATCTCTCTGAATGTTCGATGACATTCTGTCACGTTATATGTCTTTTTTTATCCTTGATTAGTTTTTGCACCACAAAATTTAAGCGGGAATGAATGGTAAACTAACCTTGTTACTCAATAAACACATGTGCACTTGACTGAATGATGATATGTGTGTCGCGACTTTGTTGACATTGGTTGTTTTTGATAAAATTCGCGAGGACATTGGTTGATTTGCCAAACTGCGCGATCTTACAGTTGCATTATGCAGTTGACTATGGCAGTTCTTGCTGTAATAGTTGGTCAGGATCTGACAACATTATTTTTACATACGATGGTGCGAACAGCACCAAATTTCTGAAAAACGACATTGGTTGTTTTTGCAAAAAACCCTTCAATTTATGTATTTTGAAGGTACTTTTCCAAAGTAGTTTGTCTTTTCCCATGGTAGATTTTAGCAGAGACGGCGGATTACCAAGTTAAATGTTTAAGAATGGGCGGATTGTCGAGTTGGTGTCAATGCTACAAAAACGGCGGATTACCGTAGTGGCGGATTATCGAGAGAGCACTGTATTATTAACGTAGCAGAATAAACGGAATTCATATGACGGTTGGATCACAGACTACAGTCAATGACAGTCATCAACCGTCACTGAATGCTCTGCGAATGAAGCTATTGACTATCATCCCTAATACCGTACAGGGCGATATTAGGCAAACATTTAAAAAACAATATGGCCACCTGTACGACAAAAATAACAAACACTGTGAGAGTTTGAAGGATACACCCACAAACTGCATAATATGAACTACATGATACGTTGAAAAATACTTTTAGTAGTACTTACCTTTCGTTCGTTAAATTGAGCCTAACTGGACGTGTTTAAATATATTCGTGTGATACGATGTCGCACACACCCGCTTCTTGTATGTCTATTGTCAAACAACATTTATATGTTCTCTGCACGCGTATTCTGTATCGTCCTAGAAACAGAAATTTCTTTCTTTAAGTATAGAGAGGACATTTCTTTCTATGTCGTGAACTTATTCTGTACTGTTCTCTCTACGGGCGTTCGGGTACGTTCGGTTATAGAGAAATGTGAACTATCCATTGTAAAAACATTGACATCTTTTATGGAAATTTCGGAACTCATTTGGGTAAGTTGGCAATCATACAAAATATTTGTTGTTTTGCTTGTTTAATTTGTTGGGAAATACCCAATTAAGAATAATTTAGATTTTACGAATCGTGCAAGTTTATGTAAGGAGGTAGAGGTACAAAAAAAGGCCCTTTGTGTAAAAGTATGGAGCCAATATTCCTTCATTTGCTTCAGGTCGCAGAAGATGAAGAAGCACAAAACCAATTAGGTTTGGAGCGGATAACTTCACGAGATCAACAAAATGCATTCGATTTGCGTGAACGAGAGTTCCGAAAGTGCTTCAGACTTAGTCGGCAGTTGGTACAAGATCTCATTCGTGATCTTACCCCTCATATGGATGCAGGAGCAAGAGGCACAAGAATTCCCGTCCATATAAGGATCTTTGGTGCCCTAAAGTTTTTTGCTCAGGGCTCATATCAGAAGGCAGGAGGAAATGAGGCGTATGTGGCATTGTCACAACCAGCATTTAGCAGAGCAGTGTCTGAAGTTTGTCTGGCCCTAGAGTCAATTGGTCATAGGTGGGTAAAATTCCCATTAAGTGAAGCTGAAAAGCAACAGAAAAAAGAACAGTTTATGGCGCAATTTGGATTTCCAGGAGTAATAGGCTGCATTGATGGCACTCATATTGCCATTGTTACACCTCAAGAGGATGAGCATTTATATGTTCCAGATTTGGATGATATTGTAAGCAATGTTCTTGAACAAGGGCAGGCAATGAGAGCCAACGTAATACAATTGTATTTTCAAAATGTTAGATAGATATTTCAAATAAAATGAAACTAGAATTAAAAAAATATATGTTATTGTGAAAAACACCATGGAAGAAAAACAAAGGTTTTCCATAAACAATGAAAAAACTTAAATCATTATTCAGTCAAACAATCTAAGAGCAAACAATAATAAATTCTATAAATAAATATTATTTATACTTCTAAAACTAAAATCACATTGTCTTTAGTTCATATAGGCCAAAAGTTCTTTCGAGTGTTCCAACCATTGCTTCTTGGGCTTCAGCCTGTCGTTGGACAATATCTCTCAATTTTTTCCTTTCCTCCATGGCCTCCTGATGCATTTTTGCCAAGGAAACAAATTTCCTTGATTTTTCAGTAGAGAGTCGACTACGTTTTCTGGCTGGTTCTTGATTAAGTAACCTTAGTTTTGGAGCCGACTTCAATACTGTGCTGCAAGAAGGTTGAGGATCTGGTGTTTCCTTCTATGAAGGGTTTCAATTCTGGCAGTGGCTGGTGTGCTGCGATGGGTCGGATGGATCCCTGTAGATAAAAATGTTTGTATTGTAAGTACATACAGGGTTAATTCTTAGTGAGGGCTCAGTTGCTAACTCTGCCATTATGCTCTGTTTTATTTGGGAATTTAATGTAATATTTTTCATTTTTTTCCATTCATATCTGAATTACAAAAAGTCAAATCTGTTAACACGTTGGCTGCTCACCAACAATTATATAGATGTCACTGGTGCGGCATTGTCAAATGCTTTTATTTGACATTTTTTAAGCATAAATTAGTTGAAACTACAATTAAAAATACTTTTTTCTTTAAATTTACAGAAAAAAAAGACACGACGCACAGGTGGCGGCATGAGTACTGCGCACTATTTATTCTTGCTAGGTGCTCAATGACGCACAGGTGTCGTCAATAATAACTATCCTTCAAACATCTTTATTTACTATATATTTTGCACAAAATATAAAAGCAAATAATAAATGACTATAATTAAAAAACAAAATCATACTTCCCTGAACTTAACATTCAAATAATAAAAAATATATTCTTTATATAACATAAATTATAAACAGCAAATCAAAACAAAATAAAACAAACCTATATATCATTTTATTTTAGATTTTCGTGGAATTCCTTGAAACAAGGTTCTAGACATAGTCCTGGTAAATTTGGACACGATTTACAAAAGTACATGGCATCTTTGCGAACACCACGTTTTGAACAGCAGCGACACCTCTTCCGCTGTCTTCTATTATTTTCACTCCTTGCTTCACATTTTGATGGAAGATGTTGAGTTGATGGTTCCTTCCCACTGGTCTGGTTCTGAATTGCGCTATCTGGAATATCTGGAAGCAGTGCTTCTATGACTGACTCTCTATAATCTAACAATGACATCTTCTGCCCAGAATATTTGTTGTAAAGCATGTAAGAATTATGGAGCATCATCTCGCAAATATGTAGACCCACTTTTTTGTACCATCTAATTGTCTTTCTATGTGAGGGATAATAAGACTGCATCTGGTCTTGCTGGTCTATGCCAGACATATATTTGTTATATTGCACTACAGGAGTTGGTTTACTTTTTTTATTACCAGATCTAGAAGTCACTTCTTCAAATGTGTTTTCATGTTCTGTTGTGATATATAGCACCTCCCTTTTGTCTTTCCACTTACCCACACACACATTTGCCCCATAACGATAGATAGATTCACCTGTTTTCAGTTTTGATGTAGAGGAGAAGGTCTAAATACGGGCTGGTGCTTTGTTTTTATTTATTTAAAATACAATGTTCATATTTGTTTTAATATTAGGCCTAGTATAGCATAGCTGGAACATATGTATGTAATAATACCGGGAAAAAATAGTCTAAATATGAAAAGCTTTCACTTTACAATATTTATTTCTATAAAAGGTAAAATACAAGATTTTGCAGGTAGGGTCCAAATATGGGCTACCATCAAAATACATCTAGATATTGCCCGTGGTTTCACAGTATTTCAAAAAAAGATATTCTAGGTATGAAATGTTATCAATAATCATATTATTAAAAAAACAGTTTAAACTATAAAACCAAATAATAACTGTTGCACAAATGCTTATCGCCATTACGTCAGGCTTGAAACAATAAACACAAGTTTATCGACAAAAAGTCTTGGAGACAAAATATAAAACTTATTTACAAAAGTCACATATGTAAATGTCCTTTTCAGCACCCGCACAGTCACTATGTGCCCACATAAAACACTGAAAACACTTCACCCAAACTTCTCCTCTAGTGTCTTCTGAAAACATTCCATTGCAAAATAAGTAACTTGCATCCTCATCGTCTGGGTAATGTCCATTAGGCCTTTCAATGTCACTCGAACTGTCGTCGGGTAAGTCACCATCAGAATCTGAAGATTCTGACTCCGGTTTTGAGCTTATTTTTGGTCTTTTTGTCATCTTATTGCTGCTCTTTTTTTTTGAGCCATCAAAATCGTTAAATAGCAATTTTTTTTTGCTCATGTTCGCTGCAGACTTTTCCAGGCTCTTCGAAAGCTCTTCTTTGTATGGTGTATCTGTGATCACACAAGCACTTGAAGACTTGCGACCACGATTTGTGACCTTTTTCTTGATGTTGGGTACTGGGGCAATTTGAAAAGGGCTAATTTGCTTCGATGGTCCAGGTAGATTCTTTGGAGTGCTTGAAGAGCAGCATTGAGAAAATGATGCATGGGAAGATGATGTAGATCCTACCACCTTTGACTGATCAGCCTGGGGTGCATTGCATGTTTTCTCTGCTTCGATTTCAGAGGCTATGAAATCAGCCTCTGTGAAAATATTTTTGTTCAAAGGAAAAATTCCGGTTGCCTTGAAACCATTGACTGCAATATCTCCCGTCTGGACCTTAAGGTAAGCTTTCCCAAAGAGCTCCATGATGTCATATGGTGTAACAGCGCGGTTTGAATGTCTAATAAATTGTCTTACTTCCTCACTATAAAAAGCTTTTAATGGTCCCATGAATGTCTTGTCGAGCGGCTGCAGTTTATGTGTAGAGTGCGGTGGAAGACAAATTATTGTCACGAAGCTCTTTCGGGCCATGTCAATTAAATCTGGATTTCGGACGTGACTGTAATGTCCGTCCAAAATCAGCAGAACTGGCGAGTTTTCTGTCGGACAGACTTTCTCAATAAAATGAGCAAACCAGTCTGTAAAAATATTACTTTGAACCCATCCTGAGGGGTGAGCTCTCCCTATTGAACCTGGAGGGCATCCTTTCATTAGGATTTGAGTCATATTTGTCCTTGGGAAGATCACTAGAGGAGGGACGAAAACTCCAGAAGCACTCATGCATGCAATTATCGTTACGGTAGAACCTCTCTCTGCAGAAGTCAAGGCTGCTATTTGCTTTTTTCCTTTTCGACCAATGACATGAGGAACTTTGCTTTGAACAATAGAAAGTCCTGTTTCGTCAACATTAAACACTCTCTCAGCTGGAAATTTGTGTTTTTCGTAAGCCTCTTCGAGCATATTGAAAAAACTCTGAACATTCTCTTTGTTGAAGCCTAAAGCTCTTGAGAAAGATGTTCCACATGGTTTCCGAATAGATAGGTGCTCTTTATGACGATTTAAAAAAAGATCCACCCAAGATCTGCCGGCCTCGTTACGGTTAAATGGCGTTTCAAGATGATTTCTAATTGCAATTTGATAAGCCATTCTGCGCAAATCTCGGATAGTGTACCCATAAAACTTCTGCTCCATTATGAGTAAGTAGGAAACTAACTCTTTTTCCAAGTCTTCACCCAAGTAAGGCTTTCGCCCAAGCTTAGTACAAACTGCTTGTGCTGGAGTAAGGTCAAGTTTTTTACTCAAAGTTTGTAGGGTTGTACGAGGCACATTAAAAGTTTTTGCCGCTTTTAAGGTTCCCATCTTTTTTTCTCGAACCACTGTAATTGCTGTTTCCATGTCTTCTTTCTTCCACGACTTCCTTTTATCTTTCTTGACATATTTTGGATTGCTGCGCGGCATTCTGAAACCAAAATAAGTCGTAATACTAAATAAAGGTCCAAATTCGGGCTAGCCCAAATTCGGACCACACTTTGTAGCCTATATTTGGACCATCGTTATCAAAAAGAATAGGTGTGTGGCAAATATTAGTGAACAACATTATAGCAAATGTAACCTATGTAAGAATAACCTTAGTATGTCACTAAAATCATTAATGAAATAGATCAGTTCTAAGTTCAAAAGATCACAGTGTCAAAAAGAAAATAAACATACCTTATAAACTTTCCGAGTCGCTAAATCACAGGATATAGCACACCGTGGAACATAACATCTACACATGTCAAATGAACACAACCGATTTTTTACCGCCAACGGTTTGACTGACGAGACATCATTGTGCGCTGTTGCCTTCTCTTTGCCAGTAAGTAGGAAACCACAGTATCAAGTAGCCTATATTTAGACCCTAGCCTATAATATGAGTAGCTCAGGTGCAGTGGAACGGTATCGACAGGTGGTGGGTAGCTCTGAGTAACACAAGCGAGGCACTGGAAATCACCTCGCCATCGAAGCTACACGCTTACAAAGCGCCATGACGTCGCTCGAGTTCGACCCGTCGAACTTTGTCATCATAAAAACATGAAATGAGAGACATCGAATCGAAAGCACGCGATCTCATCAGACGATTTTTGATGATTTTAAATCCTATTACACATGGCGTAAGTTTCTGAATATCAGCTACTATAGAATTCAGTAAACGCGGTCTGATATGTGGGTACATGCCACATACGTCATGACAACAGCTTCTGGTTTTGTTCGGGTTTTAAAGGCGAAATGCTCTGTACCGCTCCCGAATTAACAATTAACTGCGTTCACACGTTTTGTATTTTTTGGGGTCCTGGTAACTTCACGAACGTGCAAATACTAGATGGCCGAAGTATAACTGACTGATTTAAATTGCGCGCCATTTTTAATACACACATTTCAGTAGGTTAAAACGTTTTACTTAGATAATGAGTCGATAGTTGCAACGA